AAATCACTTTAGAGAAGTACCAAAAGAATTGACTGAACACTTCAGACAATATATGTAAAACTGTGAAGCAAAAAAACATTTGGATCATTTGAAACAGTAAAAGGCAAGTTCTGTTCTGCAGTTTATAGCATGGGCTTCCTACAAAAATAGTGTTTAGTCAATGTGGCTTTTAACTTATTTTGTTATGATCTTAATAAATGACCTAATATTTACATTTAAAGAGAAATACAAAAACTCATTTTAACTATTAGAATTACACAAGATTTCTTTGTTGCAGATATTATTTTCATAGAGCAAAATAGACAAATGTGATAAAACAAGCACTATATATTAGAATTACATTCAGTTTTCCAATTTCAATGAGTTTCAAAGTATGAGAAGAAAAACAGCAGAAGCAACGCGGTCCCTGTTAACTGATAACAATGGCCAAATTAAAGACACAATTATGATGTTTCTGACTTCTTGTGTCATGTAAAGTGTAAAGCAACAGGAAATAACAGTTTGGGGAAAGTGGAGGTAAACAGCATACAAACATTAAAATACAAGACTGGGGGATTTACATACCATAAGATTCCCATGTGTTTCCCAAGTTGGAGCTTCAGTTCTGAACAATTCTTCAAACTGTTTCCGATAATTCACAACCAGTTCCTTCTCCAGCTTATCCACACATTTTGAATACTCTACCTGAGGAATAAAATCAATAGAAATAGCTCATCAGCAGTCATTAATATATACCCAATACCTTCACACAGTTCTGTTACAATTATTGATTTTCTGTGTACAATGAAAATTATGCAGTGATTTCTTACACACTCATCAGAACTACAACACAGATTATCAAAACTTTTAACTCTAAATCTACAGTAGGTTCTGTAACATCACCCAATAACCTTTCACCGAGTTAGGGCAGTTCAAATTTCACAGGAACAGTCCATTTCTGGATTAATTCAACTCACTCTGTAAGGGTGTCTTTCATCCTGAAAATATGTAAGTAGGTACAGAACACAGCGTAGCGTGTACAATCTTTCTTCATAATAGTATTCTGCAATCTAAGTAAAGGAAGGCAAGAAATACAAAATTAAGAAAAACAATGAAAATAGAAATTGCAAGAAATATTGGTCAATTTCAAGCTGATCAAAAATAATCAGGTTTTATTTTTCTAAAACAAGTATTTCTGTATTGCTATTTCACTGCTGACCTACTCAAATTCATGAAAGACTAAAAGATTCAAGCCACCTATTTTGCAATCAGCAGGCAGAAAAATTAAGTTCAATATTTTTAAACATAGTTAAGAGAAATGATTTCCCTTGCAAATGTCCAGTGGCTTGGCTTTTGTAATTCTGACCACAAAGAATTATCAGAAGTCATCATGCCCAAAGCAGATCAATTAAAGTAATTGTAATCAAGAGACCTACAACTGCCCAGAGCTTTCATCAAAAAAATACATCCAGAACTAAAGAAGGTTATTACAAAGAAAACCAACACAACATTTTTTTCCTCATGTCTCTTGGTTTCTGAGCTGAAACGAATTATTGATTTCAGACAACTTCGTATCAGACCACAGTGACCATACACTATCTATACATTCATTTCTACTTTGCTGTATGCCATTGGAAACAATTTCTCCTATTTCAGTACTTCAATTAGGCAAGACAGAATATCCAGATATCAGTCAGTGCTCCAGATTTAGAAAACAATTGTAATTAAATACCTGAGAAATGAACATTTAAAAACCAAATAAGATGTTAAGTCTATTTTTTAATGTAAGTACACAGGTTAAGGGAAAATAGAACATGAAGAATAACTTACAAACTGGGAACATATTTCTTTTAAATATTTTGATTTTTTTTTAAAAAAAAAAGTCTTTCAAGTGAAGGTATTAAATACTGCCTTTATCTTTTCCATTTCAGGACATACTGCATGCAGTAAGGACATGTGAACATTTGATGCAAGAGCACTGATCCTCTTTTACCTCCCTTTGTGTGGAATAACGACTTCCACTTAATACTTCACAGCAGTACAAGTTTGAGAACTCACTGGGGTTTGTAAATGAGATCAAATTCACATATTCATTATCATAGCCTTGTCATTGACTGCAGATAAATGTTTTATTTTTAAGTTTAAACATAACATACCTTCAGCTGCAGGGCCTGGCTCTGTCTCTCATCCCGCAATACTGCCTGAAAAACACAAGAAAGAAATGAAGCAAATATGGAATAAATCCCATGTCAACTTCCCAATAAGTTTTTTTTTGTGAAACAATGCAGCTGTGAATTTAAGGCTGTATTTCTATCAGAAATTCAAGGCTGAATCAAACACTAATTCTAACCTTCAACTATCGGTCTACGGTCTACACAGCAAAACAGTTAATGATAGAAAATATATTGTCAATGGGGTTGTTTCAAGTCTAGACCAAATGTTATGGTGCGAGACCAAACCCACTGCAAACGTACCAAGGAGATAGCCCAGACCCTAACTTTTAACCTATTTTAATGACAAGTGTAAGGTGCTATATTCCAGATGTTATTTGACTGGTCAGGCTACTCAGCTTTAAGCAAAACATACATTATTTTTACCCCCAGAAAAATACAAACAAAAGAAAGAAGCATTGATACAATTTTTACTCTATTGGAAACTAAACAGAAATGATAGATTATTTAACTACTAAACAAGAACTATTCCAAAAAAGGTATCATCTCAAACACACCCTTGGCAAAAGCAAATCCAGTAACACAGATTGTCTCTCATGCGATTCTCACAGAAAGAGAAGAGAACCCAAGTTTTTAGCTGTAACAGAGAGAATGATGTAGCAAGTTCCACAACCAGCTTCCAAAACCCCAGCAAATGCTGAAAACTAAACTAAAACCAAGGTTCTGTAGGAGCCTGGCTCCACCCATTCATGCTGCTTCTATCATTCCAACTTCTTAAAAAACCCCCAAGGCCTCACAAGCTGTTTAGTTTATTGGATAGGAACAGACCACTCAGCACCTCTTAATTTAAAAAACCTCCTAAAGCCACAGTATCATCACATAAATTAAAGTTACAAGAAATAGCTAGTTGATAATTCATCTACTTTCTACAGCAATGCTAAGAGAAAATGTCTCACTGTAGTTAAGGAAGCCTCTCTCATAAGATACCATATTCTTCATGAAGTTTTACTTTACTGCAAAGTATTGATGTTGCTGTGCTATTGCACATCATACAGCAATTGGAAGCATACAGTCTGCTCACCAGCTGTCCACACATGCACAGCCACAAATTGTAATAAACAGGGTGAGGACAAAATAAAGGATTATCGACCTATGCTTAATCTATTAGCCATCCCCATCAAAACTGCTGTACCTTTATCGAGCTCTGTGTGCCTCTGTAATCCTCTTGTAGATACGACTGTAATATTTGAACACTTTGCTGCTCGTCCAAACTCTGTCCAACAAGATTAAACCAAGAATCAGAACAACTGAATGTTGGAGAAATAAAAAAGCTGTGCATTTTTCACACTTTTCTTTAAAGCATCACATTCTCTGATAAAACAAATGTGATGGAATTTAACTACAAAACTGCTGGTTTAAAGTAGACTAGCAGTGCTGCATGAATGGAGTACAAGAGATAGAAAACAATCAAAATATGTTGAACCAAATTGCTGGCTTTATAAAAATGAATGACGATAAAAGCTTTGCAATAAAAATATATACTAAAGCTAAAGTCCCCCACTAATAAAAAAATGACCTTATTTTAGGTCATTGTGGAATGTGAGTTTCCAAGCTCTTGAAAATGGGTTCAAATATCTGTAACTTCATTTTATTTTGGACAATTACACCTGATGGAGATTTCCATTTCTTCTCAGTCAGAAACACATTCCTTTGTAGGACTGCATTCACGCTCACTGATAGCCAAAATATGACAGTAGTACACACCAGGAATTTGCTGATCCGTAGCCCAAGTTCCTTCAGAGGTGCTACAACTTCTTTATCAGTTTTTAGCTTCTCTCCAGAGGATATACTGTAAGAGAATTAAACAGTTTTTCCTTCAGTTTGACTCCCTTTATTTACATTATGCAATACCTGTAGATAAGCTTAATGGTATTAGCTATTGAGCAGAAGGATATCCTATCTGAAAAGCAATTGTTAGATCCAATTTATTAATTTTCACAAATAAAATCAGATGTATTCCCAGCTCTTGACTATATCCCCATGGTTTTTTAAATCCATTGATGATCCTCATTCGGTTGATTTATGACCAATAACGGTTATGCCATATGTTTTATTTTCATCCAAAATACCTACCCTTGAAGTCATTTACATTTATTGATGAAACCTATCTGCTTATGCAGGAAGATACAGGGGCATTGGAGAGTCCAGGGAAGGTTCACTAGGCTGACACGAAATATGGAAGGACATGCCTTCTGAGGAGAGGTTACATAAATTGGACCTTTACTCATTGGAAAGCAAAAGAATGAGAGGTCACCTTATTGAAACAAGATTCTTACAGAACTTGACAGTGGATGCTTAAAGGTTGTTTCCCTTTGTGGGAGACTCTCACATAAGAGGGCATAATCTCAGAAAAAGGGGTCACATATTTAAAAGGCGAAGAATTTTTTGTCTCAGAGGGTAGTAATTCTTTACCACAAAGGGTTGTAAAGGCTGGGTCGTGAATTATATGCAATACTGAGAGACAGATTTTTAATCAGTAAAGGAATCAAGGTTATGGGGAAAAGGCAGGAAAGTGGACTCAGGATCATCAGATCATCCAGATCTCATTGAACGATGGTGCAGGTTCTATAGAGTGAGTGGCATACTTCTGGCTTCTACATTTTATGTTCTTATTCTCTGTGATCATTAATCTCTACACACAATACATTATCAAAGGACAGACAGTACTCCAAAATGTGGGGAAAATAAATAAGTCAATCTTACAACAAAAGAAAAGTCTTATTGTGATGTTATAAAAATACAAGTTGTCATTACCTAGGAGGTTTGTAATACGACAGGCCAGCTAGTAACCGCTCACAATGCCGATCCAACTCGGCTTCAATCTGATCCTGAAAGAAAACAATGTGATTCAAATTTAATTTTATAACTGTTTATCGTCACATTTTACGTCAATCTCACTGATCCTTCCTACGAACCATAAATCAATACTGATTGATTGATTTTTGGAGGTGTTTCTTCCATATTTGTTGTATCATTCCATTTTCCCCTATTGATGGTGTCAATTTACAATAACCTACTACCAGCCTTGATACTAAATCAACAGCTAGGCTTTAATAGGTTACACTGATTTACCCATTGATATTCCTAAATGTAAAGGATCATTTTGCTTTTGAATACCCCAAAGATCTGCAAATTGCATAGAGAACTGTTGCCACAAACAGGGCAACATATTAGTATCTATAACTACAAAGTACACTCCATTAGAATCTTTCAAATTCTTTTAACCCAATGGTGCCACATGACAAAGGGTTATTTACATCATTGAATCATAGTGTTACCTCTACTGGTAACTATGGGAAATTACCAAACCACAAAAAGCTGAGTACCCAACTTTAAATAATGAAGTGACTGAGTTGAACTTACATTCTCTCTTAGTGCTGACCTCCCCAGTAAAATTGTCCACAGTTCTCGACTGCTTCTGTGAACAAATTGACACTTGTTAAACATAAGCCAGAGTACAAATGGTGTTTGCTAAGAGAAGGTTTACATATCACATTGTTAAAGGTTAACACTAACATCACTCTTACCTGAATACTCACCCAATTACCAGAGAATCGCTTAATCTCAACTTTACCAAAATCTTAATGATAAAATAATATTTCTAGCATAGAACCATTGAAAACTGTCAACACAGAAGAGACTATTCAGCCCATCATATCCGCATTATGCACAACATGAACTGAAACGATAAATTAAGTTCAGATAGGGCTTTCATGTTGTCAGAGAAAGGAGTTTTCACCTTCATAGTCAGACTATTACAATGAACACTGATGCTATTGTTTTTCATTATTGCAAGATCTTTATGTTTCTACATTATTTTGATGTACTTTAAATGTTTTAATTTCAGATTAATTTTAAGTAAGTCATTTAGATAAGTCAGAACTTTTGCAACTTAGAATCCCAACAAAAGCTTGAGAAAATGTTCTTCATTGATTTGATTAAGCACACAATGAAATACCGTTAGAAACAGTAATATCAGGTTGGGCTCATTCTGAATTAGATCAGATTTCAAACTCTAATATGCTTTCAAATGTATAATCCTTACTGTTGTATCAAGGGAGAGCTCCATTGTCAAATGGAGCACCAGCCACCAAAAGATTCTGTGTCACTATTTAAGAGACAAGGGGTTCCAACAGTCAACATTGCCCACTAAGCCAGTACTCCAACAGCAGACAATAAGATCATCCCTCTTTATTAAATGAATTCTGAACTCAAATGGAAAAAACAAACTGTTCCTTGAAAACTACATTGCTCACCCTACACCTTTGCCCAAAACTTCGGTCAAACATTTTCAAGTGTGGTCCTGATTGACTGTAGATTAAAGACAAAAATGAAATTGCTGGAAAAGCTCAGTAGGTCTGGCAGCATCTGTGGAGAGAAATCAGAGTTAACTTTTCAGGCTGTGTGACCCTTCCTCAGAACTGATGGTAGCCAGGAAAATGATAGACAAACAGGAGGCTGGAAGAACACAGCAAGCCAGGCAACACGTGGAGGAAAGGAGCAGTCAATGTTTCGGGTATTACCCTTCTTCAGGACTCTTGGGCTGAAGAGGTTACAGCAGTGTGGCAGTGAGAAAGGGACTCACTGAGTTCACATCTGAGGGAGGCAGAAAACTTCTTCAAAGCGGACATCCTTTGAAGAGACTTTGCAGTGATGAAACCTGGTTAGAGACAAAAAACTGCAGATGCTGGAATCCAAGGTAGACAAACAGGAGGCTGGAAGAACATAGCAAGCCAGGCAGCATCTGCAGAAAAGGAGCAGTCAATGTTTCGGGATAGAAAAATGCTAGTTTACATGCAGAAGTTAGGGTTGGGAGGAGGAGGTAAGGAATAAACAATAGGCGGGAATACAGCCCAAAGAGAGAGAAGAGCAGTTAGACAAAGAATTGGATAACAACCTGGCTAGGAGGATGAATAGCTATTAATGGGGACTGTTAGTGGCTAACAATGAGTTGTGTGTAATAGCAGACTGTGTGATAACAAGGCCTGGTGTGGATGGTTGGAGTAAGGACATGGGAGAGATCAAGCCGCAAGCTCCATATCGAGTCAGAGGGCTGCAGGGACCCCAAGCGTAAAATGAGGTGCTGCTCTTCCAGCTTGCTCTGAGCTTCGGTGCAGCAATGCAGCAAACCTGAGGGGGGCGTTTGGGTATTCCCCTAACAAACAACAATAAATTTCAGCACTGTAGTCATCCTGATGCACATATTGCCAATTTAGGCTTCAGTCCTAAATAAGTTTAATTTTACCCTGGTTACTTTTATTTCATGTATATTTGATAATGTTACAAATGTTTGTTACTTCTACCAGAAAAGCAACTTTTATTCACTCATTAGACACAGGTATCACTGGATGGCCAGCATTTATTGCCGTCCCTATTTGCCATTGAGAAGGTGATGAGGTGCCTTCTTGAACTGCTGCAGTCCACATATTATAGATTGACCCACAACACCCTTAGGGAGGAAATTCCAGGATTTCAACAGGGACAGTGAAAGAACAGCGATATACTTCCAAGTCAAGATGGTGAATACCTTGGACGGGAACTGGCACGTGGCGGTGTTCTCATGTATTTGCTGCCCTTTTCCTTCTAGATGATAGCAGTCGTGGTTTTCGAAGTGCTGTCTAAGCACCTTTAGTGAATTTCTGCAGTGCATCTTGTAAATAGTACATAGTGTTGCTACTGAGCATCAGTGGTGGGAGTGGAAGATTGTGGATATGGTGCAAATCAAGCAGGCTGCTTTGTCCTGGATGGTGTCAAGTTTCTTGTGTTGTTGGAGCTGCATCCATCCAAGCAAGTGGGGAGTATTCCATCACACGCCTGACTTGTGCCTTGTAGATGCTGGACAGACTTTGAGGAGTCAGGTGGTAAGTTACTCGCCACAGTATTCCTAGCTTCTGACCTGCTCTTGTAGCCAGTGTGTTTATGTGGCAAGTTCAGTTGAGTTTCTGGTCAATGGTAACCCCAAGAATGTCGATAGTGAGGGATTCAGTGATGGTAATGCCATTAAATGTCAAGGTGCGGTGACTAGATTGTCTCTCATTGAGATGGTTACTGCCTTGAATTTGTGTGGCATGAGTGTTACTTGCCACTTGTCAGTCCAAGCTTGGATAACATACAGATCTTGCTGCAATTGAACATCGATTGCTTCAGTATCGAGGGGTTGCGAATGGTGCTGAGCACTGTGCAGTCATCAGCAAACATCCTCACTTCTGAACTTATGATGGAAGGCCGGTCATTGATGAAGCAGCTGAAGATGGCTCAGCGGAGAATATTACACTGGGGAACTCAGTCATATAGCATGGAAACAGACCCTTCAGTCTGACAAGTCAATGCTGACCATAATCTCAAATCAAATTAGTCTCACCTGCCTGCACTTGGCCCATATCCCTCCAAGTATTTCTTATTCGTGTACTTATCTAAATGTCTTTTAAACATTGTAACCGTACCCGAACCCACGACTTCCTCTGGAAGTTCCCTGCACACATGAACCACAAAAAAAAAAAAATTGCTTGTCTTTTTTAAATCCTCCTCCTCTCACCTTAAAAATATGTCCCCTAGTCTTGAAATCCCCCACCGTAAGGAAAAGACATCTACCATTCACCTTATTTATATCCCTCATGATTTTATAAACCTCTATAAAGGCCACCTCCTGCAGAGATGTCCTGGACTTAGATGAATGACTTCCGACAACCACAACCATTTTCCTATGTGCCAAGTATGAATCTAACCAGTGAAGAGTTTGCCCCCAAGACCCAGTGATTTCAGTTTTGCCGGGGTTCGTTGATGTCACACACAGTCAAATGTGGCTTTGATGTCAAAGGCTGTCACACTCACCTCTGGAATATAGCTCTTTTGTCATGTTTGAACCAAGGATGTAATGAGGTCAGGAGCTGAGTGGCCCTGGCAGAACCTAAACTGAGCATCACTGAGCAGTACAATCAAGATCACGCTATTTCCTACAGTTTTACTTCTACTGCTGAATATCTGTGGTGAGAATAAGTTGTGAAAGTCAGTTATGCTATTTGCTGTACATTGACTTTTGCTCATAGATGTGAATCCCATTCAAATTCAATTTCAGACAAAACCACATTAAGTTACTCAACTAAAGCTAAATTTTAATGACTTGTCTTGATAAAAAGACTGAAAATGTTTTGTTTTTATTAAACCCAAATTTAACACTAATGAATTTGTATGTCATTGTCTTTAATTTTGCTATTGTCCAGCTCCAAATTTTAGTAGGTATTTTCTGATACAGAAAGCAGAGCCAAAAATTCATCGGAGTTTGCTATTCAGGTTTGGAACATGGAGGCCGTATTCTATAATTACTGCACACTCCTCTCCTTGCAGCATTGTCAGTGTACCTAACCCCTATGGATTGCAGTGCTTCAAGAAGGCACTTTACCATTTCCAGAGAATTTAGTGGAGGCACTGCTGACTAGGCCAGCATTGCCACATCCCATGAGCAAATTTTAAGAATTCTGACCCAGATTCAAATCATGTTGAAAGAATCCTGCATGACCCAAAAGCTATTAAAAACTCCTTGTCAAATTTAAGCGGACGCACGCCTCACAGCGCCAGGGACCCGGGCTCAATTCCAGCCTCGGGCGACTGTCTGTGTGGAGTTTGCACATTCACCCCGTGTCTGTGCTGATTTTGTCCGGGTGCTCCAGTTTCCTTCCACAGTTCAAAGACGTGCAGGTTAGGTGAACTAGCCATGGGAAATACAAGGTTACAAAGATAGGGTGGGGGGGATGAATTTGGGTGGGATGCTCTTTGGAGAGTCAGTGTGGACTTGCTGGGCTGAATAGCCTGTTTCCACACTGGGGAGTTCTATAATTCTATAATAGAAGCTAGCAGCTCCATTCTGAGGAGAAACAAAACTTCTTTGAATCCCTAGAAAATATTTTAAGATTGGAAATCATTTTCAAACAAACGTTTCTTTAAAAAAAATTTACACCGGGGACTGGGGTGTGGCAGCAAAAGAAAATTGCAGATATTAAATTTAAAGACATAATGCAAAAAGGGAGTTGGTGGACCAGTGGCAAAATAGCAGTCCCTAAACCCTTTATTTGATGGCCAAAGAAGCTAGTGCTGCCCAAACATACCATACATCAAGCAGGTGGCACAAACTGCATACCACAAAATGTGACTCATTAACAATAAGTTGCATTTATACAGAATTCAGAGTGGAATCAAAGAGCCAAGTAACCACCTGCTGTGCTGGAATGACGATCATTAACACAGGAGAATATCCCAAAGCTCTGCACAAGGTAACAGGACAAAATTAAACCAAGCCAAAGGAAATATTAGGACAGGTAACCAAAAACTTCAAAAGAAATAAAATTTAAAGGGAATCTTAAGGAAAGAGAGATAGGAAGAGACAGGAAATGTTTGAGAAAAAACACCTTGGATACACCACTTAATTATGCAAGTCAAAATTATCCTACGAACAAACAAATTTGTCCTGCATAATTGTCAAGATGACATAGAATCATAGAAACCCTACAGTGTGGAAACAGGCCCTTCGGCCCAACAAGTCCACACCGAACCTCAGAGCATCCCAACCAGATCCATCCCTCTATAACACACCTAATCTACACATCCGTATGTCTCTTGAATGATAGCACCAGCATCATTCAGCAGAAAAAGCAAACTTCAAAAACAAAACACAAAAGACCTAAAATTCTCAGTCACTGAAGAACAAAATCAAAAGTTAATATTTTCACTTAAAACATCAACTATTCTTTGTTCCTCACATTCTGGTTGCATGATATATTGGCCATATTTAATCAAGTATCCAAAAAAAAAATTCTGAACTTCAATTCCAGAAGATAACAAGTTTAATCCACCATCACTGGCCACAAACTATTGTAACTGCATGGGCTGCTAACCGTAGAACTCACCAAGCACTACAAAAGTTGTGTTAACAGTACTAGCTCATCATACTGTCTCCACTGGGTGAAAAGAGGGAGAAAATAAAAAGGAGAGATTTTTTTTTAAAAACTGTATTTCAACATTAAAAATACTCAATTGAAACAAAAGTACATAATAGCTATGCCACACGAAAGAATGATCCCAGTAACCAGTCAGTCTCATTGATAGTATTATAGGAAAAAAAATTGCACTGCACTGAGCTTTCCTTGTATCTTAAACTGGAATAGCCCGAGACACATTAGAACGGCAGACTAAAACTAAATTATAGAGATGTATGGACGTCTAAATTATAGACACTGGAACTGCTTTTCAGTGTTGCTAACGACCCGAGAGTATCAGGTGCTATTTGAGGATACTAGCGTACTTTTCAGATCATTGAGCGACAGGAAGGAGGGGGTGAGAGAACAGAAACAGTTTCCTGTCAGATTCTCGTAAATTTGTGTCCCTTAACGGAGCGAAGGGAAAATAAGTTACCGGTACAGCCACAACGTACAATGGTCTATTTACGAAGTGAACAAGTTAAAAATCTAAAATTATGATCCCAAGGAACCAAAGCCCCATCCTGGCACGATGGAGAGTTTGAACGTAAACTCGTGTTCACCGCGTTCTCATCCATTTACCAACTGTAACCCCGCGCTCCACAGGAACCACACACAGACACCGGCTACCGCTTCTTGTTTCCGATAAAACACACTTGCTTCGCAGAACTGCTCAGCTCAGACTCAAACTGTGTTTTCTATTTTGTTTTTGAAGAAAAAAATAAAGTTTCATATATTTCATTTTACCTCACGTAAGGGCCCGCCGCCGCCGCCATTGCCAACCCACTCACGTGACCAACATCCAAGCCGACCCTCTGCACGTGACCATCCACGGGGGCCACCGACCCCCTGCACGTGACTTCAACGGTGCCGTTCGTGTCACGTGATTGGCCTTTCATTATGGCCGCCTCCTGGAAGGTGACAGGTGAGTGTATTTGGTGAGAGATAGTAGGAATTGTAGATGCTGGAGAATCTGAGATAACAAGGTGTAGAGCTGGATGAATACAGCAGG